ATTACTTTCTTCCAAGGCATCTTTATTACTCTGTAATCTGTCTATGGATGTATGTTACCATCCACAGACCTGCTTATATCTGCTGACTGTTCAAGATTCATTTAATGCGTGACTCACTACAGCTGTTTAGAAGTCTCTCACTTTAGTTAATATATTGCACAGAATGCTCATCCTCCGAAATGCTGCTATTACTATTCTTTGTCTTCTGCCTTTCTATCCCCCAATGGAGAATAGGCCCTCAACCAACTCACGCCAAGTCGTTCTATCCTTTGCCATTGCATGGAGCTCTCTCCATCTTTCTAACTTCATTCTCCAGCTCTCTTTCCATGTGTTTATGGCCTTCCTTTATTCCTATGCCCCTGTGGGTTCCAATTCGAAAACATTATTACTATTCAACTTTTTTTTTAATACTTCTTCAACCTGCCGTCTTCAGAGGTACCCATATATGTGAACACATTGACTGGCTTTAAACTACTCCCAGTGACTTGGATGCCTTCTGTAGGACACACTATGTGATAAAATCACCCCTCCACCCCCAGGGGGGAACTATTAGATATATCACAATAAAAACACGAAGAGTTAACAATACAAATAAACATTTACAGAGAAGAAAGAAAAAAATCGGAAAATGAAAGGTGGCTGACATACAAGGACACTGAAAAGACAACAAAAACAAACGGGTCAGCAACAAAGGCAGAAATACAACACAGTTTACATATGCTAGCCAGACAGACAACAATAAACTAGCACAGAGAAAAAAAAAGGATTGGTATACAAAGACACAAGTTTACAGATAGCACCAAACATGGAAAGAACAGACCATTCACAAATACTGAACAGACGAAAACAAAACAACTGCAGAAACAAAAAGGCTAAGGCCAGTGATTTCAAATAGCAGCCAGAACACACATTATATAATAGAGACAACCAAAAAAATCAAGTGTAGGAATGGTATAATGTTTTAATAAATTATTTCCTTGGGCACATTGTAATAAATATATATTAACAATATTCAAATACATAATTACAAAGTCAACATGTCAGGAAGGCAAAACGTATCTGTCCCTGGCAAACACGCCTAGGGGTCAGAGCAGCTGCAGATTGCTTGTTTCAAAGACAAAAGTTGACTGCTCATTTTAAAAAGTTGCAGAATGCTTGTTTTATTAAAGACAGAAGTTGACTGCTCATTTTAAAAAGTTGCAGATTGCTTGTTTTAAAAAAAGGAAAGTTGCAGATTGCTTGTTTTAAACAGTGAAGGGCCATACAATAGGTGTAAAACTGAAAGTGGTTATATCAACAAACATTTAGTTAACAAGAACAAAAGCTTGGTCCAGGCAAGTGTATATTAATCCTATCCTATCTATTATTCCTTGTTCAGACAATGTTTTAACAAAATTATTTTTTTCAGTCTCGTCAGATTTGTGTTAAGGTCTGTAAAAGATTATGTCTTGAGTGTTGCAATATTTACTCACGTGTGAGCACAAAGATCTGAAAATACTGCATGTCACGTCTGTGCTGGTAAAGTATGTGAATGAATAAGAATACAACATGTAGGAGCAGCAAGGGGACAACCGATAAGGGTGAAATTATTGTCATAGTGTTTCAGAAGTCAAATTTTTTATCATCAGTCATCAACCCTGCTTTTTTTTTTAATAAACAAAATAATTGTATGGCAGACTAATCATTAAAGCCAATACCATGGTGTGCACGTGTGTGAGAGAGAGAATTTTCTAGATGAGAATCCCAGATAAAAATACAGCAGTTTACTGTGGCTGAACTGAGCAGGTGAAAAATTCCATTTGCAATCTCGAAGAGCCATATTCAATTTCAGCTGCAGGTGATTTGGCATCAAACAGCTTTGCAATAATTTTGACAGTATGAAGGTCTGACAGTTCAGTAAGTAACTGCAGACATAAAATTCACTCAGAAAACTACCACACAAAAAAGGTTCTGGTGTTGGTTCTGCAACATCCTCTAAATGACATGGCAGTCTTGGAAAACAAATGGTAGTAGACTAACAGCATGAGGCTTACTCCCCAACCTATTATATCTGACAGATGCCAAGCCTAGTTTGAAAAAAAGGTGTACATTTCTATTTCTGAGACAGCTTGGTGAAATTATATAGTTGGGGGAAAACAAGGAGTAGACCAGACCAAGACACATTATACATTTACACAGCTAATATATCTGCTGTGCCTCAAGCAGGAGTACAGTAAAACCTTGTTAACACAAACTCGCTTCATTTAAAACAATAAAAAAAAAATGCCCCGCAGGCACGTATTAGGCCTCAGTTAACAGTAATGTTTATAACAGTCTTTTATTTTATATTTTTGGTAATGAGATTTTAATGTATGTAAATCTCTGCGTGGATATGTCCCAGTCAGAACATAAAAATCGATAAACTTATCTCACAACAATATACTGCAACAAGTGTCCAGCACAGGACATCTCTTCCTACTGCGAATCATTCTGTCTACTGCCCCTTGCAGAATAGCATTAATTGACAGGTGACCAAGTCATTTCATGTTTCCTATTAAATGAAATAATACCTAAGACCATTCAGTGTAAATCATAAAATACAAGCAGTCAGTGATGACTGACACCACACCACTGTAACTCTTCTTAGACCAGAAATGGTTTGACTAGGGGGGAAAAAACAGCACTTATAGATTTGTTCTTTGATAATACAATCTTTCTACATATTTTTCTCTGCTAAAATTGTCTCATAATAGTGACGACAAACACAAGAAAATGTAGCCTAGATTGTCAATAAACCCACTACAAGACTTAAATATTCCCTGAGACAACACTATGTCTCACATTCTCCAAGGGCAGGTCGACATGAAGACTACAATATGTGTGATAAACCCACTACAAGACTTAAATATTCCCTGAGACAACACTATGTCTCACATTCTCCAAGGGCAGGTCGACATGAAGACTACAATATGTGTGATAAACCCACTACAAGACTTAAATATTCCCTGAGACAACACTATGTCTCACATTCTCTAACGGCAGGTCGACATGAAGACTACAATATGTGTGATAAACAAAGCAAAGAAAAGAGTAGACATGTAACTGACCGTGTGCTTCCAGAATGTAGGCAAAGTGCACAACCTAGAAACTATTCCCAACAATGTCATTTTCTAAAGGTGAATGAGATCTGAATTTAATTAGATTATGTATTAAAGTTGTCATTCTTAGACGACTGACAAGACATCCCAACAGGTAGACAAGGCACAGTGAACACAATCATGTCATACAAACAGCTCTGTAACCTCTTCATAGGGTGCTAGGCCAGCTCCCATCTGATACTAAAAGACAAGTTATTTTGTCAAAAATAAAATTCAGGAGTAGCTGCTGGACAAACTTAAGACAGATAGATGGCAATGTCTCCACAGATGTCAATTCATATAAAAAAAATGGATGCAACTGCACAGAAACCTTCAAGGGCACCTGTATGTTGTGTTTTAAGTACGACACCTAATGGAATGTACAAATCAGAGGCACTAGGTACAAGCCTTGTAAATTATGCATGATGATGATGTATGTCTTTAAGGCATGTTGTGTTTGTACCCATCGCAGGACAGTTATTTCTTTGGGGGGATACCATCTGATACTTTGTGGGGTTACGTTTTGACATGTCTAATCTAACGAGAGACTCCCCTTTACTTCCCAAGTTGTTACCCTACCCTTTCACACCAGTGCTATTCAACTGTTTACCCAGAGGCCAAAAGTTTGAAAACGGGGGGTGGGGGTGTGTCACAAGCTGGTGGTCCCAGCTCCAGCAATGAAAGTTCACCTCAGATGGAAGATACCTTTGACCTTTCTATATTTAACACACAAGCATTTAGATACAGATTTAGCTAAAGTCAATTCAGTCATCCCTATTTCATCAGAGACCAGTGGTTTTTAACAAATGTAGGCTAAGAATTTATTACAAATGTGAACAAAGAGTTTAGATGTGGTAGCCTTTGTCTCTTTGGAGCTGTCCATCACAGGCATAAGTTTACCAGCTACACGTTTGGTCGGAGGTTCAAATCTAATCAGAACAAATTTTCACAATGTCAGTAACAGACCTTAAGTACAAACCCTAATGTCTATCTCAAGTAAAGCTCTCAATGGGTTGCCAAATACATGGTTGGCAGATTTAACTCTCACACACTAACTTAAGGCGAGCCGACCAATTTTTGATTGTCCTTTGCTTGCTTGAATCTGGGCACATTTCTACACAAGACAATAGATCAGTCATGGTTCATTAACTGAATGTAAGTTAAATGTGTCCGCAGGCAACATCTGCTGCTGCTGGGGGGGTCAGGATGCTAGGTAATCCAATATCAGAGGAATCACCACCCTGAGAAGCACATCCTGCAGTGCGAGAGCAGCGGAGATCATGGACTTCTGCCGCATGTGACTAGGACAACTTCATCCAACCATGTACCACTGTTACATGTAGTTCTTCTTCTTGTTCACCGGCTGTGAATTCCGGCGGTAAGTCGCAGTTGTTCGTCCAAAATGGACTTTTGGCTTTTACCTTGTACATCTTTTGCATGTACATCCATTTTACTGGCTTATTTGTTTGCAGTTCTCGTTCCCTGCCTCTCCGGCAGATGTACTCCGACTTCGAGGGAAGTTACATGTAGTGTCAGGAGACTACTTCTTGAAGGAAAATCCAGATTAGGCCAACTAATGGTTAAAAATGTACCAACATTTGCAAATAAGGCCTAAGATTGTAGTAAGAATGCTTACTAATCGACACATTTGGTCCGTGGGAAGTAGCAGTTCAGCTATTACTGTATCGGTGTAGATAACTGCACTGGGTTAACATTGCTGCTGCTAGGCAGGATTTGCTGGCCCTTAATATTTTTTTGGGTGTAACTGGGGTATCATCCTTTGATACTTCTATCAGCGAAGGCAACACCAGGACTGGCTTGAAGATTCAGCCGGCTGCAGAGCCACATCGAGCGACTAATTCTAAAGATGCCAGATCTCACAGTTCAGGCAGACAACACAATCGCTGAAGGCAAGCTATCCAGTCTGTTGACTTGAGAGGAACATGACATGGACGAGTCAGCAACCATTCTGGAGAAGGCAGACACTGGTTTTTCGGGTCTTAATTTGTTCAAAGATAACTGAGAACTGGAAATGTCCGAGTCACTTTGGTAATTTGATGTGTTTAGTCCAGTTTCACTAGTAATTGCACAAAGTCCAGAGAAACCCGAGTTGAAAATACTAACTAGATTCGAGATCTGAGAGGACTCCTGCATGTCTGCTTCGATATCAGATTCCTCTGAGAAGTCTGAATAGTCACTAGGTACTACCTGAGATGATAAGTCACTGCTAACTCTTGCTTTCTTGCCGGATGGGCACCCTGAACTAGAAGGCTTGTTTGTCCGTCGCCGTTTCAGGACTTTACATGTACTTTTTGAGTTGGATGATGGTTGTGATTCTTGAGATAACTGATTTGCTGCTGATAAATGATAAACTTGTTCTGCTGATTTCATACTGGAAATGTACTCACTACAGTTCAAATGACTATCCTCAGGCGGCGAATTCTCTTTATCTTGAACTATTTCACTGTCCATTATTTGTAGTTGTAAACAAGGCGTAGTATCTGGTTGACACGCTGTTATCTCCGGCACTGTTTGTTCAGCAGCTGTCGGCGTGGCATCGGCCTGGCCCAGATTTGAGTCACACCAGGTCGGACACGCTTCTGCTTTGTTCGCATCGCCTGACGACGGCAAGTCACTCTTCAGCTCGGGCTGATGACGAATCTGCTGCTGCCGCTGATAACTCTGCTGATAACTATAGGACTCCATCATATAGGCAGTCCTGGCTTTGTGTAAGACTGTGGCCACTAATAAGTTCTTGTGTAGATTAATACCGCCACGCTGACCGCGGGACTGAGCGATCTTCCCTAAACTCACAGTAATCAATCGTTGGGTTTCCATTTTTAAAGTCACTTTTACCTTAGATTAATGAAGGATTTCTATAAATTCACAAATCCACAATGAAATCACAGGTCAGGATCGGCACTAATTGTAAACAGATCGAAGGAAAGTCGATTATTTACTTCACAAATCAACGGAGAAGTTTGTAGAAGACTCCAGAACGTCAATGACCCAACCTGCCGGTTCGACGATCAGACGAGAAATGCGGGCCGTCTGCTCCCGTGTCCTGTTTTCAAACTCGTGACGTCACTCGCCACAGTTTCCAGCCAATCAGCGCCGACTTTAACGGACGTCATGCGGGGACTCCACCAATCAGAAGCGATCGGGGTGGCGGAAGAAAGAAGTCTGCCGGCGTGACGTGGGAGATCTAAATAAAGAACTGACCCGCCAAATACAGGCAGGGCCTCGGGGAGGTGATCAGACACGCTCTTTAACTCTTTCTCTCCCAGACACGTTTACCTCTACTACTACTGACTATTAAACGGTGTTAGGTCGTCGTACGTTTGAAAGACGACTGATATGGACTAGGAGATTCTGGTGTCAGATCTCCACATTTCACTGCGGACTACCTTGTAACCTAGTAGTGTCATAATATAACTGTAGGGCTGATCGGGTTTTGTGAGATCATTCTTGGGGAGCATTTGCGTGACCTAGAAGTTAGGCTTGATGAAGCACGTCTATGCTACCATCGATATCAAGAGAGAGAACACTATAACCGACTTCTCAAGGGAACAATCAGTCGAGATACCCTGGAGTGTCCATTGGAGAACTGAGCACGCATGGGAATTCCCAATATGCAGTGACGTCGACTGTGGTAAAATAATATCAGCAATACTTTTAGTGATAATGGCTTAGGTGTTGGAAACTCGTTTCGTAATTCCAAAATAACTAGTTGAATCCCAGGCGAGGGCTATTTGGCAGCAGACCGCCTTGCCTTAGCTTCCACAGTGGTATTATGGTCCGATCGCTAAGGAGCAATCGCAAACCACTTAAAATTGACTAATGAAATCACAAATTGCTGCTGTTGATTCTGAAACATCCTGTAAAGAGCATGCAACTAAGGTTTTTTCCCCTCTAATTTTAGCGTAGAGCAATCATGGTGCTAATGCAGTCACCTGATTTCGCTATCTAGCATTTAATGACTTTTTTCTTTTTATTCTGCCTTCTCTCCTCCATGGAACACTGACCCTCAACCCACGCCAAGTCGTTCTATCCTTCGCTATTGCACACAGCTCTGCCATGTTCTCCCTTTCATTTTAAACTCCACTCTCAAGCTTTCTTCGTCGTATCCTTTTTTGGTCTGCCTTTATTTCTATACTCTTTTGGTTTCCAGAGCAAAGACATTCTAGTTATGTAGTTCCCCGGTTTTCTCAAGATATGTCATCCAGCGCCAGCGACTTTCTCTCACCTCTTGGTCCAGTGAAACTTGTTTAGTTCTGTCTGAAAGCTCAACATTAACGATTCTATCATACAACTTAATTCCCTGTTTTCTGTGCAGGCACAAGCTAATGAATATTCACAAAAGGTAAGAAGGGAGCTTTCATTGGGAAAATTTGAGGAAGTAAAAGAAATGAAAACTAATACTTCGCTTACAAGTTTTAATTCTTGTGTCAAATCACTGCTGCGTTAGTTTGACGTTAATCTCATCAAACAGAGTAGGTCACTTTTAATTCACAAGTTTGCTGGGCTGGTCGACTTTCCTGAAGATTACAGTTGTGTCCCGCTCTGTTGTTTGGTTTCTGTGATGTCTTGCGTTTACGTTTTCATTCAGAGAAAAAGAATGCCTGTGACATAGGTTGCAGCACTCTCTGGGGGGGGGGGGGGGAGGGGTGTGTTAGACCCAGTTTCTCTAAGTGTTTTGGAGAATTCAAAGCACTGTCATGCTGAAATAAACAACACGCGATATCAACTGCATTGCAGGACACCACATTAACCTTGTGCGAAGGTCACGTGGCTCAGGAACTAGCAATTAAAAGTGAGCTAGTGTTTATATAGGCGGGGTCTGGGGAGACTAACATAAACGTTACCCACTGCTGTATAGAGGGGAAACGTGGAGAATTACTAATACCTCATTTATTAGTCAGTAAACAGCGTGCTAGATATAAATTGAGTGTGAGAGGTTGAGTTCAGAAACTAGGATGAGAGACAAAGGCAAACCCAGGAAATCCCCTGACTCAGCACGCCCAGGTCTGAGCGGAAAGACCGTTGACACAGACATAGGCCGCCATTCACCGACGCACGGAACAATGTCACTGGCGAATATTTGTGATGGATACGGATAATCTGGGCGCTGATATCCTCTCGGGGCTGCTGCTTTCACCACCACTACGACCACCATCACCTGTAAGAAAATAGTTCACCCGTACAACTGTAAATAAGACAAGACAATCTTAAGGACTGGAAAATCCAAAAACCACCTGAAAAAATTCATACAGCCATTTTCGAGATATTTGTTGAAGTATGAGGAAATGACTTAAAACACTATACATTTACTACTACTCCTACTACCACCCCCATCACCAACTTATTACTATTGCATCATGCCCTCACTGAACACTCACTCACGCACACATACAAACTCACACACAGTCAGTAATTTACTGGCGTGCCAAGCCCATTGGACAACCCACGCTGGTGGGCTAGTGGATTTATTGACAACTATAACTAGCAGGTGGGCGAGTGTGGCAGACAAATATACAGATGTTGGGGCGACTCAACTCGGCGAGCACGCCAAAGATACAATCATTGAGTCATACGTCCAAGCTCCCACGCACTCAGTTTCCTTCCGATTATTAATCAGCTTTATGAAAGTGAATTCGTCAGTTCGTGCCCGAGGCGCGTGTCTTCATGTAGGTGTGTATTTGTGACACATCGCCTCAACAACACAAAACAGACGCCCACATGAATGCACCGTCAATCTCCTTGCCTCAATCACACAGAAAAAAGAGTTCTTGTCTTTTATTTCACCCCATCTGGGGAGCTACAAGATTTACAAGTGAGTTTCAGGGAAAGTCCTCTATTCTAGGCGTGTTTTGACACGACTTCGTTCGGTGTTCATACAGAATACGATAAAGAGTGTGCATCGGATCAACAAACTGTCTTCCACACGAAAGTGCACAATTTTCTTTTGTGTGAACGTCTGTGCAGCTAACTTTCTTTCTGTGTTGAGGTATTTTTTGGGAACAACTCACGATTCTCACCACATCTCGTTTGTCTGCATGTTTTCGTATTCGTTCCCACTGGCTGTCCTATGTTCGAGGGGTATTAGTTGTCTTAAAAATCATCCACCTCTGATCTGTCGTCACATGTTCAACAGCGCTTCTATTTTAGCTGCGTATAAATTCTACATCGTGTAAGATTTTTAGGCAGTCGCTGTTCGTCATTCTGCCTCCCGTCTCGTCCTAATTATTCCTCCACATTCCAGGACTGCCAATCATACACTGAACAAAGTCCACACTACACAAAACAAGTGTAAACTCATCCATTTCTGCGACGACCCACTGGTCCGATCCATCACGAGACAGCAATGAATCAGCAGAGGCAGGTCGGGCCATGGAAGGCGTCGGTCGGGCCCGGCAAAGACGCCGTCGGGTCAGCAGTTCAGCTGTTGGACGCGGGTAAATGACGCCTCATCTGCTTGGATCCGGATACGGTTGGATGACTTGAGCCTTACAGAAATGATGTATACCCATTATACAGGTGTGTCGCCTAGACCTAGGCATTGGTTGGTAGTCTGTATAATAATAAAGTGAAGTGGTGGACCTTTTTCATATAGGAAAAGACTTATATTTTTCAGTTTCAACATAGGTTCCGGCTCCCCATTGTTGGGGACAAAGAATAGATCTACCGGCCGCTAACAAGCATGTCGTAAAAGACGACTAGTTAGGGATTTTATGCAAAGTCAAATGCATCTGCCTGTGGGACAAGGAACCAACAGGTTGCAATAAAATGAGCGAAATATTTAAAACAGCTACGCCCGCAAAACGCAAGTTTTGGAACAAGACCAAAGTCCATAGGTGAACGAACAACCAGAGCTTTCCGTCGCAGGTTACAGCCGTTGAACGCTAAGAAGAAAATGAGAAGAAAAAAACCCAGTCAAGCTGTAAACCACAACATAACCTGCCGACGGCCCTGTACAGGGCGAACGCAGCAGAAGAGGAAGAAGATAATTTCACCGAATATGCCAGAAAGCTCTGTGCGTGCTGCGGTATTTAATTATGTCTTGTGGATGATGTCGTTTCCCTCGGATGTCTCTCGGTTCCTCACACACTCTTTGTTGCTTCTCTCGAACCTCATACCGTTTCTCTCAAACCGTTTGCTGTTTTTCACAAGCCTCTTGCTATGCCCTATGATGCTGCTGTCTTCAAAGAAATGAATACATAATAATCGACTGCAAGTTTTCCTTTGCGTTGTTTTCGTCTTTATGAAGCGCAACCTGAAGTTAGTGCTCGGTATTATGTCTGTATTTTCTAGCAGAACTGTGCTGCTGCTTCTGCGGCTGCTGCGGCTGCTCCTGCTGCTGCTGCTTCTGTTTCTTCTTTTTCTTCTTGTTTCTTCTTATTATTCTTCTTTTTCTTCTTCTTTTTCTTCTTTTTCCTGTTCTTCTTCTTCTTCTTCTTCTTCTTCTTCTTCTTCTTCTTCTTCTTCTTCTTCTTCTTCTTCTTCTTCTTCTTCTTCTTCTTCTTCTTCTCCTTCTTCTTCTTCTGCTTCTTCTTCTTCTTCTTCTTCTTCTTCTTCTTCTTCTTCTTCTTCTTCTTCTTCTTCTTCTTCTTCTTCTTCTTCTTCTTCGTCTTCTTTTTCTTCTTCTTTCCCATTAAATTGTCTGTATTCTGTCGCCTTTGACCGCATGCTTGCAAACAGGAAGTCTGTCTATTGTGTTTACACGAAATTGTATCCCGGAGCCGAAAATGCTTCTCTAGTTCTAATTTTACCTCCAACTTCTAAGACGTTTCAATGAATCATTTATCTGTTAGGTCACTGTATTCAAGTCTGCCAGAACT